AATTTTTGCATGATATAAGGTAAGGGTCTCACTTCATTGCATGTGGATATCCAGTTTTCACAACACCATTTCTTGAAAACAGTGTCCTGTCCTCATTGAGTGGTTACTTGTTCTATTTTTAAATTTCAACTAATTTATTATTATTGTTTTTTTAATGGCAGTACTGGGGATGAACCCAGGACCTCATGACCACTGAGCTATATACCTTCCCCTTCTTGTCCTATTTATAAAATAGGCCCAAAGGAAGGAGAGTCCACAGCCTCTCTCAATAATTCATGCTGTTCTTTAATAAGTTTCATGATTTGGAGGGTCTTTACATGCAATTTAAGTCTCCACTACTGAAATTTTAGCCGATTTCTCCTATGTCCTCAATAACAAAGTAAGACAGCTCCCGAATAACCTGTGAGCACTCTAACAGCTGTCTCCAAAGAAGACAGCTATAAAATCATTTCTTAGACTTCCTACATCCAGGAAGAGTAATTTCAATTTTTTTAACCTTTCCTGACTGGTCTTATTTTTCAGTTCTTCGATCATCTTTGACGGCTATTCCTGAACCCACTTGAAGTTTTCTGCATTTTTCTTAAGATATAGAATCCCCAAATCACAGAGTTTCAGAACTTTCTTTAAAGTTATCTAGTCTATTCCTTTGCTTCTAGGAATGTTTTATCTAAATCAATTCAGGAAGACTGGAAAATGTCAAATCCCTAAGGAGCTCTATGAAAAACTCATACCATTCTTTGATTGCAAAATCAGCAAACATCAGAGTTGGACTTCAAGTTTCTCAAGATTCTTACAGTTCAAAAAATGTAACTAAGACCAAATATACTGTAGAGTCATTTTCTTATTCATTTATCTCTTCAGATAGAGAGGAATCACTCTTAAAAGAGTCTCCATTTGGTTTTAGATCTTTTACTATATCACCATTAAAGTAGCCAATTTCAGAACTTTTCTTTCAGCAAAATCACTAATAATTCACAAGAAACCAAAATAAACAGTGACAACAAATTAATAAGAAACCAGAGGTTGATCTAAACACTAAAAAGAGAAGTGTTCTTTCTAAAGAAATAGTCTTGGATTCTGACAAACCACAAAAGCCAATTAAAAAACCACCCCACAGATCCTTTTTCAAATGTAATACTCTCAAACTTCACACTGGAAACATCAATAGGAAATAGTCAATGTGATCTTGAGTAAACAGGTGAACAGATTAAAAAAAGCAAAAATTCTTTCACGTTATAGGGCTGAAGTGGGTGTACACATTGCATATATTCAGACATGAGGGGCTTTTCATCACAGATGGAAAGACTTACATCCTTCAGCACACGGTAGTAGCTTGTTCAGCCAACTGGAGCTTCAAGAGCTCTTCCAGAAGCACTGTGTATAAAGGACACTGCAAACACTCAGTCTACAGACTGAAAGGCAGCATGGAGAGAAAATTTCTTTAACAACTATTAGAAAGTATCTGTCAAGACGAACCCTAGAAACTCCATGATGGGGTAAAGGAGGGGTTCATTATACTATTCTGTTTACATTGTATCTGATTAAAAAAAAATGTTCCTAGAAACCCAAGAAGTAAGAACCCACAGCGAAGATCAAAACAAAGCAGAACTGAAACAGTACCAGCACGGCCTCCTTGTATTTCTGTGCCAGACGCTGATTACACTGCCACAGAGGACTGGCCATTTGCCAGAATCACGGTTATTCTGGAGCACACATGCCTGACTGAAATCCTAAACCGACAGCAGACGGCTACCTTGTAGGACTGCGATGCTTAAGGCAAACTGTGCCGTTCCAATGAGAAGAGCTCAATTACTGCCATCATATCTCCCACAGAGAATACAGCTTCACAGCAAGAGAGGAGGCCCAGAGACAAGACTGTCAGCCTCTAAAAAGCTTTTATTTAAGATTTATTTCAAAGAGAAATGAGGTACCGAGAAACACCACACTAGATAACATGAAGTCTATTTTTTGCTTTAACTCTTGGTCATACAAAGAATAAAACTTTAATAAAATGTAAGTGAAATGCAGTAGTCAGTCAGGTCAGTAATATGTTATGCAAGCTTATTTAAATAGGTCAACTAGTATGATCCTGGCTGGAGGAATCTAAATAGATTGCCCCCAACAGAAAGCCTCAAAAGAAGTCCTGTAAATAAACAGACAATTACAAATACATAGTATTGAGGCAATATTTTAAAGTGTTTTAGAAACTGCTTCTTCCTATTACTAGTCCCAAAGAATCAAAATTATTCCAACTTACCAAAATAATAAAACAGAAAGTATAAAAAAGCAGATGAACTAGAGAACACGTTTATAGAATAATCAAATTCCTATAAATAAAACTATATGATTAATCCTTTAATATTCACTCTGAGAAAAATATTTGGTCTGCACTGTTACGTGCATTCTCTCTCTTCCCGCTCCCATTTCTCCAACAAGAGCTCCCAGTCAACAACAACAAAAAAAGAAAAGAGTTGGTTCATTAGCAGTTACCTGCTTTAATACCTGCTCCCTGTCTACCTCTCTGTAGAGAAACGAATCTGATGTGTGTCAGTTCTCCACAAGGCAACTCTAACTCCTCCACAGACAGACAAGCTTATGAGAGGAAAGGACTAACCACAGAGCAGGTGGGGATGAGGTAGGTGCAATTCATTAGAAAAGAACAGCAATTATCACAAGATGCTTCCTTCAACTATTAACTCCTCTGCCTTCCGATTAATAAAGCTCCAAACTACCTCCAGACTCTGGAAAACTTACTTACATACGACATTCATACAGTTTCATTCGAAACTAGTCAAAGGAAGCATTTCATATGGCTAGAATGGTTTTGTATCAACCTTAAAGAATTGTTTCTTCTAACACTACTAATCCTCAAACAAACAGAATTAGTCTTTTCTAATAGGATGTTATTTTCAATGACTAGGTTAGTTATTCACAAGATCAGCACTGACAAAACCAATTGACTCTGCTTCAAATATGACTTCATGATGTATTTTCCACATTTGACAGCTTTTTAAGGCAATGATTAGATGATCAGATTTGGTTCTCTACTGCTAAGTATATTAATAAATACCTTACATTTTAAAAATGAATCAGTCATATTCAAGAAGAAGGAAATAATAAAAAAAAGCACTGTGAAATGTAGAAAATACAAAGAAATTATAGGAAAACTGTTTTCCTTCCAGCTATTTTTTTAATTAACTATTTTTTGATTCATCATTGCTAACCCTATAGTTAGCATCTTCTAACTATATAGTGTGATATAGTATTCAGTGATTCACCACTGTAACACTATATATATATATTTTTTTCTTTGAAGGAAATGACTCTGTGGGATCTTATGCAAGGGAAAAAAAAACATTAGTATTTTGTGAAGGCTTACAACTATTTCCTGTAAAAAGACATGTGAAGGATAAGAGCACCAAACATAATTACCACAAATATAGATTCTACTCACCAGTTTGATAGCTACATATTCATTGGTGTAGAGATTTTTACCTAGGGGAAAAGCAGAATGTATATGTTTTAGTGACATTTATTCTGGGAAATGCAAAGCAAAATCTTAGCTCACAGGGTCATGAGAAAAGGTCAAATTCCCAATGTGGTTCACGTATATGAAACATGATTTATAAGTGAAAGCTAAACAGAGATAATGAGATCCAGCAAGATGAGAACAAAACCAGCCTGAGAATTTGGAAATTTAAGTTAGACATGGGAATTTGTTATTTTAAAGAAAACAAATCTCTCTTTCTCTGTCACACACACATTTTGTTATTTAATATTTCCCAACTATTAAGCCACGAGGCAACCCAAGCAAAAGAAATGCCAGAATTTCAAAGATACAGAGACTTTAACTCTTGACACAATAAATATAAACTCTCATTTTTCTAACTCACTGACAAATAAGGCTTTTGTGGTTTGTGTCACAGTATTCAGTGTCAATGATAATGAAAAAAAAAAAAAACACCACATTTTGGGAACAAAAAGCTGCTGGTAATATTGGTTATTTACAACAGAAAGCCCTTTGCAAACTATACCATTATACTTTTAATATTATTATCAGTTTGCCCAGTACCTTTATGCATAGAAAAGTACACTAATTTAGGAATAACTTCTGTATGCAAATAACATTAACAAAGAGGACTCAGAGGTTGCCAAACACCTAAGAAGCCATTATAAGAGGAAAAACTAATTTTTCAAAGGAGCAAAAGTAGAAAACAGGCATTTTTCTCTCTATATTAGTTGCACTATGCTTCTAAAAGTTAATTTGTGTTTCTGACTAACGTTCCTACCAAAAACATTTTTTTAAAATATTATTTGATGAAATTGTGAAAAGGATACCAGTAATTGGGAGAGGAATAGATGAGGTAGTGACAGCAAACTCCAAGGCAGACTAAAACTCTATCTTGGCCGCAGACCTCTTCCACACCAGATGGGATGCTGCACAAAGATGTTTCAGGAGACCCCTTCCTGGCACTGTGTAAGCACTACTGTTGTGACCTAAAACCAACTTTAGCAAAGGGCTGACCCTAAAAACTTCATACTGCTTAGAGGAAAATGGTCAGGTTTAAGATTGTAAATGTGTTTAGGGGGTCTTTCTGAGTTGGAGACACCCGCTATTTTAGCAATAAGAATTACTGGGGGATAGAGAATTAGAGGCATCAAAGCTCACCCCTTTCTCATTTACAGAACAATATGCCTTAAAATGCTTTGTTAAAGAACTAACTTAATATTTGTAGCATACGCTTACAGTAACAGATCTTTAATTCAAATAGATCACAACCTTTTTTTTTAATTGCAGTATAGTCAGTTTACAATGCTGTAAATAGATCACAACCTTATAAGTGAAGTGAGATGGTAGTATCAGTGCAAGCAGAGTAATAAACCTGGATTCTGATCTGTCAGCAAGAAAAGAGACAGGGCAATCACAGGAGTCTCAGGAGGGACATACTCTCCTTTCATTCTTCCTCCAACCACATACTAACAGGGTCTGAAAAGATGAGTAGACTTTGAACAGTTGAAGAAGGGAGAAAGGCATCCCAGGGAGAAGAAACTGTATGAGCAAAACAATAAAAAATAAGAAAACAGATAATACAGGCTGAGAATGGTGGGTCATCTGGAGGTGAACGGGCTAGAAGTTGGACCATGAGGATCAGAAAGGGGTAGGGATGGGCAAGGAGTGGTTAGGGCAGCGAAAGAGACTAGAAAAGTAGAGTCCATATTAGGAAAGTTCTCAAAGCCGTCATTAAAGTTTAAAATGAAAAGTTCTGGAGTAGGGTAGTGACATGATCAGATCTGTGATTTAGAGGCGGTATAAAGGATTACTGAGAGACTAGAGATGGGGGAAAGTATTTGAGTATTTAACATCCACCATGCACAGTTACCAGACATCTAAGATGAGTAACACTCAGTTATCACCCTTCATAGACTGTATTCTAGATCCTCACACATGGCCTTGCACATGGTGGCTCAAAGTTTGTTAAATAAACCACATAACTTGGTAAGTGTTTTTTTTTTTAACATTTTTTATTGATTTATAATCATTTTACAATGTTGTGTCAAATTCCAGTGTTCAGCACAATTTTTCAGTCATTCATGGACAAATACACACTCATTGTCACATTTTTTTCTCTGTGATTTATCATAACATTTTGTGTATATTTCCCTGTGTTATACAGTGTAATCTTGTTTATCTATTCTACAATTTTGAAATCCCAGGCTATCCCTTCCCACCCTCTACCCCCCTGGTAACCACAAGTCTGTATTCTCTGTCCATGAGTCTATTTCTGTCCTGTATTTATGCTTTGTTTTTGTTTGTTTGTTTTTGTTTTTGTTTTTGTTTTTTAGATTCCATATATGAGCGATCTCATATGGTATTTTTCTTTCTCTTTCTGGCTTACTTCACTTAGAATGACATTCTCTAGGAGCATCCATGTTGCTGCAAATGGCATTATGTTGTCAGTTTTTATGGCTGATAGTATTCCATTGTATAAATATACCACATCTTCTTTATCCAGTCACCTGTTGATGGACATTTAGGCTGTTTCCATGTTTTGGCTATTGTAAATAGTGCTGCTATGAACATTGGGGTGCAGGTGTCATCCTGAAGTAGATTTCCTTCTGGATACAAGCCCAGGAGTGGGATTCCTGGGTCATATGGTAAGTCTATTCCTAGTCTTTTGAGGAATCTCCACACTGTTTTCCATAGTGGCTGCACCAAACTGCATTCCCACCAGCAGTGTAGGAGGGTTCCCCTTTCTCCACAGCCTCTCCAGCATTTGTCATTTTTGGATTTTTGAATGACAGCCATTCTGACTGGTGTGAGGTGATACCTCATTGTAGTTTTGATTTGCATTTCTCTGATAATTAGAGATATTGAGCATTTTTTCATGTGCTTTTTGATCATTTGTATGCCTCCTTGGAGAATTTCTTGTTTAGGTCTTCTGCCCATTTTTGGATTGGGTTGTTTATTTTTTCTTATTGAGTTGTATAA